GTGCCTGGGTTCAGTCAGTTAAGTATCGGACTCTGGATTTCAGCCCAGGTCATGATCTCACAGTTCAAGTTCAAGCCCCACATCTGGCTCCACACTGATACTGTGGAACCTGCTTGGGATTTTCTCTCTCTCCCTCTCTCTCTCTCTCTCTGCCCTTCTCTCTCTCCTTTTTTCTCTCTCTAAAACAAAATAAACTTTAAAAATATTTTTAGGAGTTCAAGAGTCTCTCATGGTTAAAGAACAAACTGAGGGCAGATGGGGGGAGGGGAAGGGGGGTGATGGGCATGGAGGAGGGCACTTGTGGGGATGACAACTGGGTGTTATATGGAAACCAACTTGACAATAAACTATTAAAAATATTTCTAAAATTTTTGAAAAAAATATACCAGAATAATAAGATAAAATATAATAACAAGAAAAAAAGATAAGGTTGAACATAGTTACAGGTAGGGAGAGTCAGAGTAAGTTAGAAATTTTCCATTTTAGGGGTATCTGGGTGGATCAGTCAGTTAAGCGTCAGACTTCAGCTCAGGTCATGATCTCACGGTATGTGGGTTCGAGTCCTGCATCGGGCTCTGTGCTGACAGCTCAGAGCCTGTTTCAGATTCTATGTCTCCCTCTCTCTCTGCCCCTCCCTCACTCATGCTCTGTCTCCCCCTGTCTCAAAAACAAATAAACATTTAAAAAAAGAAAAAAAAAAGAAATTTTCCATTTTAAAAAACCAAGGGGATACAGGGAGTTACCATGGGTCTGTGAGCAGGAGAATGCACACAGAAGTGTTGTTTGAAGCTGTTGCTTTGGAAGGCTAGAGGCAGGCCAGCTAGCAAATGAGGCAGAGGGAAGAAAGGGAACAGAAGAAGGGACACAAAGGAAAAAGGGGCAAAAGGCTGACAGACAATGTGAGTCTGAAAAGATCTGAACCCAATCCACAGCACTCTTCCTGCAAACCCAGTCAGGGGCAGGCAGTGGCTACAAGTCTGCCTTTTGGAATGCTGGTCTCAGAGAAGTGAGGTGATTGGAAAGAGGCCCAGATTGTGAGAAAGATACTGTTTGAGGTTGCAGAAGGCTTATTTAAAAGTCCTGAGGCACCAGGAGTACAGAAGCCTCTCTTTTATATTCTACTCACCCCCAGATACTACAGCATCTTCTGTGGTTGGAAAGACATAAGAGATGTCAATACTGCTGGGAAACCAGCCACATCAGAAAAGTTTCCTGTTCCTAAGGTCTTGACTTGACCTATGGTTTTATACATTAACCCACAACAGTTGTTCTCAAAGTCCAGTCCCTATACCGGCAGCATCAACATTCAGCAGCAGCATTAGCTGGTCAATTGTCAGAAACAAACTACTGGGCTTCATCCTAGTTGCACAGCTAGCAAATGACAGAGTCAGCATTTCCATCTAGGTCTGCTAACCCAGAAATAAGCCAAGTCTCTTGTTAGCTATGGCTAAGCAAATGCCTTTACCTAGGGGAAAAAATTCCTTCATAAAGTAGTCTAAAGTTCTCAAGAACTTTTCTTCCAAGTATTTCTACATGATTGAGATTTGAATATGTTTTCCAGCTCCACTTCCACAGGACACCTTTCTTTACAGATGGTCTCTTCATGACAAAGGGGCAGGGTTAGAAGAGGGTGAGGGGCTAGGGCAGCACCCAAACTGAGGGAACTCTTTAGAGAGGATCCTCTTTCGAAGGCTGGGTCCAGCAGGGCTATGTCTATAAAGTGCTGCTGTAGTCTGAGAGACACCCTCCAGATCTGGGGGGTGGGGCCAGAGAAAGCCTCCTGGAGGAGGGAACATTTGTGCTAGGTGTGAAACAGGGGGAAAATCAGGAGAGACACTGTATCCTTAGAGATGGGTCCAGAACAAAGTCAACTCTGGGGACGGAATTGGGATAGGACATCTGGGGTTACTTCAAGGAATTCTGATGAGCTACCCTTTCTTCTTATTGTAACTAACCCTCAAGGCTTTATTGTCAGGAAGTGGATCAAAATCACAAGGTTTGGTCTGGTTGAAACAAGCAAATATGTGGGGGCAATGCCTGGCTGTTTTTCAGGTAAGGGTGGAACTGCTGGGACTTCCAGGGTGGTAAGCATCCTCCTTACCTCACTCCAGATTTCTTCCAAAGGAGGGATGCACTAGAGAAAGGGTAATTCAGATGGAGGGAAGGAAGTGAGGGAGATAAGGGACTTCCCCTTAAGCTACCAAAGGCTTTCACTTTCCCCTGTGCCACTCAGCTACTCACCAGCAGGAGGGCATGTCATTGCCTCTCTCTGACACTGCTTTTTCTCAAAGTCCTCCTGAGTACCTACTGGTGACTCCATTTCTGCTTCTCTCACCTACTGCTTCCTTTTATGTATGCTCTTCCACCCTCTAGTGCGATCTGTCTAAATCCCAAGTCAAAATCTTTAATATTTATACAAGGCCAAGTTCCATGGTGTTGAAAAACCCTGCTACCCTTGCTTAAAGGTCCTTTGTAAACTCCATGGGGCACCTGGATGTCTCATTCGGTTAAGCATCTGACTCCAGCTCAGGTTATGATCTTGTGGTCTGTGAGTTCGAGCCCTGTGTCCAGCTCTGTGCGGACATCTTGGAGCCTGGGGCCTGCTTCGGATTCTGCGTCTCACTCTCTCTCTGACCCTCCCCTGCTCACGCTGTCTCTCTCTCTCAGAAATAAATAAAACATTAAAAATTAAAAAAAAAATAAACATTTAAAAAAAGTCCTTTGTAGACTCCAGAAGATGATAAACTAATCTGCAAAAAGGCACCTCAGTTTGAACAGGTCATCCCATCTCCTGAGGCTCCTCTGATGGAAGCTTAGATGCATCCAGAGAAACAGAAAAGACTAGCCAGAAAACATTAAGCTTCCCCTCTCTTATGTGAAGTCATGGCCGTTAAAGCCTTTCCAGTCAGTCACATGGCCGTTATCTGACTTGGGGGCCAAGTACCTGTGAACTGGAAACCTCATTAGGATTTTTAAATTGTCATGAATTATGTATGGTAAGAACTGCTAAGAGGTCAAACCAACCCTTTTCTTACTCGGGGGAAACTAAATTGTAAAAGTGATAAATAGCTTCCTTAAGGTTACAAACACAGCTGATAATGGTGGGAAAGTGTAAGAGCACTGCTCTCTTGCCTCCCAGGCACACGTTCCCACAAACATAATTCATCTGAAGACTAACTCTTATTTGAACCTCTCAACCTATAGTCACTTTGGGCTACAGGAGAGTTATGGTAGTTCTCCTCTCCAAGAATGTGATGATCTGTGTTCACTCCGGAAATTCATATAGATTGTTGAATCTCTTTGATGTCCTAAAATCAGTGCATTCTTTTTGGAAGTCACCTACAAGATACCACTCCTGAGCCTGAGAGACTGAATCCTTATCCTGAAGTTTAGAAAGGAGGTGTATGACTGCTCCAGAGAGATTAAATGTGGCATTAAACATCTTCACTGATAAGCAAGAATATTCTATGAATTGGGCAGGAAGGGCAACAAGCCCTAGATATAGCAGCTTTCATGGGGGTTGTGGACATGGATGCTGTATCTGTTAAAGGGAAGAAAAAATATTCTGGAGGACACAAATCGTTTTATTCTTTATTTCTCACAGCACAGCCTAGCACAGTAATACAGTTATGGGATCTGTCCATGTATACTTGTTAAGTGCGTATTCATACACATGAACTGGTTAGGAGGGAAAATTCCGTAAACTGAGCAATAACTTAGACAGTTTGGAAAGAGAGAAGTGTTCTCCTTTTCTCTATTCTAAGTACCAGGCATTGTACTATAGGCAGATTTTAAGATGGGGACTGAGAAACAGGTGTGAAAGAAACAGGTGAGTTAAGGACCTTTTAGTTTATATATACTATGATTTAGTGTCCATAACACGTTAGGATTATTATTCCCACTTTTATTTAACAGATGACATAACTAAGGCTCAGGGAGGTTATGTGTTTTATCTGAGCTCACACAGCTAGCAAGTGTTTGGGATCTCCTATCACACTCCAGAATAATACTCCTCTCTCCACTGAACTCCCAGAGATCAGTTTTTGATGGGTCCCTGAGGGATTCCTGCCAGAGAGTTGCCCTTCCTGCAACCCCCCAACCGCCACTCCAATGAATTTTTTTTTTAAATCTGCGGAGTCCGGGCCTGGAGCCAGGTAAGACCAGAACCTCCATTTCAGGGGCTTTCTCTAGAATCCGTCGCTGTGGTTACCTCCAGTAGAATCTGTTTCAGGAAGAGGTCTGATCAAGCTTGATAGCGGTGCCATCCATCACTGCAGGAGGGCAGAATCCGGGGCTGGGGGCCACACGTCGAGAGGGGAGGGGCCTGGGAGCGGCCCCCTTGTGACCAGCCCTGAGAGGTCAGCAGGAGAGAACGTTGGCTGAGGAGCGCCTGTTACAGCAGCGGCTGCTGACGTTCTGTATCATGCGCCTGTGGCCAAAGGTAACCCAGACCCTTAAGCAAACAGCCGGGCCGGGACCTGGGCGTTGTGGGGCGAAGGTGGGAAGGGGCAGGGACTTTAGGGGTCGAACACTTAAGATAGGGGCGGTGAGTGCGTGGAGGGCGTGAGAGAGTCCGGATTCTCAGAGGAATAGGGAATGAAGGTGCTGAAGCAAGAAACGAGGTGTGAGAAGGAACACAAGCGTGAAAAGAGCGTGAGAGGGCGCAAGAGTTTGGGCGACCAAAAGACAGTGCAATGCGCTTGAAGGTATTGAAGGTAGCGGCAAGGGTGGAACACACCCAGTCCCAGCAGCATAGGTAAGGTGGGAGAAGGAAGACACTTTCTTTCCCTGAGCCCAGTTTCCATAGGTAGTCCCCTTTTAGCCATTTTTAAGGTAAATTTTGACCCCAGTGGGTTTTGTTGTTGTTTTTGTTTTTGTTTTTTGTTTTTTGTTTTTTGTTTTTTTTTTCAGAATATAAGGAAAGAACGTCAGAGGAAGCTATACCAAAGTGAGGCTGCGCAAAGCGCAGGAAAGGCAGTTAGAGGGTGGCGCCTTATTTAAAGAAGATTCCGTCTCCACGTTAAATCTCAGGCCGTACCACACCCCCACGTTTTCCTCCCTTTCCCCCACTCCATTCCCCTACTCCCAGCACGATTGGATCGCCTTTAAACCAGGTAACTGCCTCCGTCTCCTCAGCAGCTCCTGGAGCCCCCGAGTAAAATGGGTGGAGCCCGCAGCGGTCTCTGGTTGAGTTCACGGTGGGAGGGGTGCTGAGGGCGTTAATGGCGCGCCGCCGCCATGACGCTGGCAAGATCATTCACAGAAATCCCTGTCTCATTCCGTCTACAGTCGCAGCTCCATTCCAGACGCCTTTCTTCTCAGGCCGGGCGGTGAGCTGATGGCCCAAGTTCGGGAAACTTCCTTGCCTTCCAGCTCTTTGGTCCGTTAGAGTTCAGACGGTAGGGGAGGAGTCTCGCCCGAGGAGGCGGCCGAAAAGGCGGGGGAAATGGAAAAGGAGGCGGTGGGAGCGGCGAAGGCGTGTTCAGGCCTGAGAGCTCAGGAGGCGAAACTGGAGCCTTTACAAGAGCGTAAACCTCTTTCGGAGAAGTTGACGTGGAGTGACGCCGGCGGCGATAAGGAGGTGCTCCTTTCAACCCCACCTCGTTGTTACAGTAGTTCCTCGCCCCTTTGCCCGCGCCGCAAGCCCCGCCCTCGGCCCCAGCCCAGGGCCCGTGCCCGAGGCCCTCCTGGGCCCTCGGCCCCACCCCTGCCTCCCGCCCATTCTTCCCCTCAGGCTCTGACCCGGCCACAGCCCTGGCGCAGATCTCGGCTTAGATCCAGGCCCAGGTCTAGACCCCAGATGCTGCAAAGCTGTTCTCCTGACCTAGGTGGCCCTGGGGATCGAGGTGGCTTAGGGGACTGGTTGCTGGAAGTGGAGTTTGATCAGGGTCCTACAGGCTGTTCTCATGTAGAGAGCTTTAAAGTGGCTAAGAACTGGAGGAAGAACCTGCGGTTGATCTACCAGCGTTTCGTTTGGAGTGGGACCCCAGAAACTAGGAAACGTAAGGCAAAGTCGTGCTTCTGTCATGTATGTAGTACCCATATGAACAGACTCCACTCTTGTCTCTCCTGTGTCTTTTTTGGCTGTTTTACTGAAAAACATATTCACAAACATGCAGAAACAAAACAGCATAATTTAGCTGTAGACCTCTATCATGGGGTTATATATTGCTTTATGTGTAAGGATTATGTATATGACAAAGACATAGAACAGATTGCCAAAGAAACAAAAGAGAAAATTTTTAAATTATTAACTTCCACCTCAAGAGATGTTTCTCAACAACAGTGTATGACATCAGGTGTTGAAGAGAAACATTCAACCTGTGACTCAAAGGAACAGGAACCAAAATTGGTGAAACCCAAGAAAAAGAGGAGAAAGAAGTCGGTCTGTACTGTAGGACTGAGAGGGCTGATCAATCTTGGGAACACGTGCTTTATGAATTGTATTGTCCAGGCACTTACCCATATTCCTTTATTGAAAGATTTCTTTCTCTCTGACAAGCATAAATGTGTAATGACAAGCCCCAGCTTGTGTCTTGTCTGTGAAATGTCTTCTCTTTTTCATGCAATGTACTCTGGGAGCCGAACTCCTCACATTCCTTATAAATTATTGCATCTAATATGGATTCATGCAGAACACTTAGCAGGATATAGGCAGCAGGATGCCCATGAGTTCCTTATTGCAATATTAGATGTGCTGCATAGACACAGCAAAGATGATAGTGTTGCACAGGAGGCCAATAACCCCAACTGCTGCAACTGCATCATAGACCAAATCTTTACAGGTGGCTTGCAGTCAGATGTCACATGTCAAGCTTGCCATAGTGTTTCTACCACAATAGACCCATGCTGGGACATCAGTTTGGACTTGCCTGGCTCTTGTGCCACATTCAGTTCCCAGAGTCCCGAGGGAGCTGACAGCACAGTGAGTAGGGATGACCACATACCAGGTATTCCCTCACTCACAGATTGCCTACAGTGGTTTACAAGGCCAGAGTACCTAGGAAGCAGTGCCAAAATCAAATGCAGTAATTGCCAAAGCTATCAGGAATCTACCAAACAACTCACAATGAAGAAATTACCTATTGTGGCCTGTTTTCATCTCAAACGATTTGAACATATAGGTAAACAGAGACGAAAGATTAATACTTTTATCTCTTTTCCCTTGGAGCTGGATATGACTCCATTTTTGGCCTCCACTAAGGAAAGCAGAATGAAAGAAGGCCAGCCACCAACAGATTGTACACCCAATGAGAATATGTATTCCTTGTTTGCAGTGATTAATCACCATGGAACTTTGGAAAGTGGACACTACACCAGCTTTATCCGGCAACAAAAGGACCAGTGGTTTAGCTGTGATGATGCCATCATCACCAAGGCTACTATTGAGGATGTACTCTGCAGTGAAGGGTATTTACTGTTCTATCACAAACAGGGTCTAGAGAAAGAATAGTCTTACAAGACACTTGCCAGAAAAAGAAAAAAAGAAATGAATATACAAGGATTCTAAAGTGACACACAAACCTACCTGGAATGGACAATGACAATACCCATACAACAACAAGCATCTCTTGAAGTTTGACAAAAACCTACCCTGGCATGTACAATGACAACTGCACCTATAAGACAAGTAGCACCTTGATATAAAGAACCTATTTTACCATGGCTTATGGGTCTGTAAGAGGGAAAAAAAATACTAACTAGTGACTGTTCATCCTTAAGAAATGGGAAGAGGGATAAGAGGCTGAAAATGGTCATTAAAGCATAATTAAATGAACAGAATGCTTTAGATGGGGAGAGTGGGAATGGAGATGTTCTGCCACTGCTGTATGTCATTTGTTTCTACAAAAGTGCCATGTGAAACCAGGGAGTATTTGTACATCAACAAAAAGCTTCACAATTGGTGTTCTAGCTGTGGCTGATTAGTCAAATGGTTTGAAAAAAAAGAATATTGAAAAATAAAATTTAAAAAGTATTACAAGAAAATATTTAAAAAGAAGAAAACCTTTTTAATTTTAAAAAATGTTTTTAAATGTTGAAAATTTTAAGTCAAATAATTTAAAAGAAAAGTTTTAAAATTTAAAAGTTTTTTGGTTTACAATTTCAAAATTATTTAAATAAGGCTTAAAAATAAATTTTAGAAATTCTTAGTTTAAAAAGGTAAAGTGAATAAAACAAGGACAAATATAAAAAATGAAAGTTTACAAAAAAGTAAAAGTGAAATTTAAAGTTTTAGAAGTAAAAAGTTAAAAGGGAATGGAGCTCTTAAAGTTACATTTTAAATGAGACCATGAAATACATGTGTTGAAAAATGAGAAGTTAGCAAAATTCATGAATAGTTTAAGAAATAAAATTTCCAAAAATATAGAATGGGATGAAAATACAAATTTAAGTTTATAGAAAAGTTTTAAAGGAGGAAAATTTAGAACAATTCAAGACAAGACAAAATTAATATTTTTTTAATTTAAAAAATTCAGTGGTGCCTAGGTGGCTCAGTTGGTTAGGCATCTGACTCTTCATTTCGGCTCAGGTCATGATCTCATGGTTCTCTCTCCCTCTCTCTGCACCTCCCCCACTTGTTCTCTCTCTCTCTCTCTCTCTCTCACTCTCTCACTCTCTCTTTCTCTCTCAAAATAAATAAATATTTAAAAATTTGAAAAGGAAAAAATAGAGAAAATGGGGAATTTTAAGATATACCTGAAGGAAGTCCAGTTTGAGAGACTTAAATGAAAAATAAATATTAAACAAAAAGGATAAAAACTTAAAAATTTTAAAAGTAAAGTAAATAAAAAAGTAAAAACATTTTAAATAGAAAAAAGAGTAAAATTAAAAGGTTTATTTTTAATTTAAACATATTAAAGTGCATACGGGTATGAAAAATAAATGGAGGAGATAAGAAAAACAAAACAAAGGGCTTGTGAATATTTTTTTAGTATTATGTTGACACATAAATAGAATTTGAAAAAAATAATCTTAACCATCATTTTACATCCAATTGTGATTGCTGCAAGGCCTGAACTCTAGCCTGCCTTCACTTTCAGATTCCACACCCCATCTGATTTTGAAAGAAGCAGAGCTGTTTCTTAGGAAAAATCAACTGCATCTGAGAAAGATGAATAGTAGGGACTCTCTCCCATTTAGAACTGCATTATTGATACAAATTCTTTGCTACTGAAAAGTAGTTCTTGACAGTTTAGTGGCTTAGGGATATTAGATCACAACTCCAGCTCTGGCTTTGATGTTCAAGCCCCATGGCCTGATTGAGAAGGTGACAGGGTCCCATATCTGAGAACATACCACCTTCTGCTCTCCCACTTCCCTTTCCATGGGGAAACAAGACCTTTAAATTTCTACAGTAGAGCTATGGGTTTGTACTTGACAGTCCTACTCATTCCTTATCCCCCCCCACCTTTTTTTTCCCTCCTTTTTCTATTATTCATGCCTGGTTCCCTGAACCACTTACTTACCTACATTTTTGAATGCCAGCCTGTAGGGCTCCTTCTCTGTTTACCTGGTGGCTTCTATTCCTCCTTCAAAACTCAACTCACAGATGACTTCTCTGGATCCTTTTCTGAATGTTCTACAAAAATATAAATTGGAAAATTGTTCCTCACCCCTATATCCCTCTCACTGTGCCTCAAAGTACTTTGTCTGTACCTCAGTGATATTCTACTGTGAATCTACTGGAGCTTTGTGACTGTCTGCCTCTCTGTACTGAGCATTCTGTGAACAGGGGGCCAAGCCTTACTCATTTCTGTGTTAATAAATGTTTGTTGAATATGAGGAAGAGTTCAGTTATTTGCTCTATTCACCCTCTCAGTAATGTGATCTCACCCATCTTCTCCATCAAGCCCTCCTTAAGTGCCCTGTGCTGTAATGTAGTGTCATCAGGATTGTATCTTCCCTAAAGACAGTGGATGAAATGCTACTCAGCTGCAGGGGATGGCTTAATAAAGTAGGTGCTCAGTGAGGAAATAGCCAGGCTATGTGGAGGGAGTACCAGGTACAATGCAAGAAAAGAGCACAAGCTTGAGAACTGATGATCATGAGAGAATGGGTGGTGAGGGAGACCAGCAGCTGAAAGTGATATTGGGTTTGTGGCAACACTATCCCTCACCACACTGTTCCTGAGCTTCCCACAGTGTCTCTCACCTTACAGTTGTGTACCACACCTCTCCATGGTGTACTGCATAAGTTTACCTTCCCAGGAGACCATGTATCTCACCATTCCACACTGTTTTGTATTACATGGCACACCATAACTGTGACAGAGGAGTGATGTCCGGTGGCTATGTTTAGTAGAGGAGCTGTAGGTTGTCTGCTTAGCACTCTAACCCTTCTCCCATTCCTTGTGGTTTCACTGGGGCTACCGATCACCTTGTCATGCTCCTCTCACACCTCCCCGTAGTGAACACGTTCCACAGCCTAGGCCAAATGAGAGTTCTAAATTCCTCCACTCCTCCACCCACACCCCTCCCACAAGAGCAATTCTGAGGATGACTATAGAACCTAAACAGGCCCAATCAGAGTCCATTGCTAAATTGGATATGTATAGACACTGGGAGAAAGAAGCTCCCTCTCCATGATGAAGTTTCTAGATTAGGATAACATTAATCTGAGAATCTTAGGGGTTGATATTCATATCATGAGGAGAAAAATAGAATTATAGATGGGAAGAAAGAACCTGAAGAGCATAATTTGAATTTTGTGGATCCATCTGTGCCTGAAGTCCCAAAGTTCCCAGCTTTCTGCACCAATAAAATCCTTTGTCCTTCTTAAGCTAGTTTGAGTTGAGATCCTGTCACTTGTAGCCAAGTGCTTTGAACACATTAGACATACTATATGGTTAGTGGGAGGCATCCTGTTTCTAGGACCCCAAAGGGAGAGAAAGAAGAGAATGGTGACCTCAAATGAATTCTGTCATATAAGATTGAGAAACCAGAGTGAATCCCTGCATGTCTTTAGCTCAGCTACTGACCTGTTCTAGGCTTCAAATTTTACTCACAGCAATGATGTAGCTATTCCCAATTAAAGAGAGAATAAGGCAATAATGTTTCATGGGTTCCGTGAATAGATAGGCCAGGTACTATGGTAACTGCTTTACCTCTATTATCTCACTGAGTTTACAAAGCAATCCTGGAAGACAATCATTACTGAACATATTTCACAGACTGGGAAAGTGAGACTCGGAATGGAAAAGTGGTTTGCTTAAGTTCAATTTACTGTTTTAAGTAGTTGGGTCAATATACAAACCCAGGTCCCCAAAACTTGTGGATATCCATTACAATTCAGTACATAAAACTCAAAGATTTTTGTTTATTTTGCTTTTCCTGATGTTGCTATGGAAGATACAATAGACCAAAATGGTGCAGAAGGCAGACAGCTTTTGACAAACCTAGATGATAAACCCGGAGAGTAATCTATCAATTGATAATAACAAAACTGCCCATGTTACAGGTGAATATGTCTCTATGGCAATGGCTGATTAGGAGAGTCAGATAAGGCTAAATGACTTTCTTAAGGATACACAGGATGGAGGAGGCCAAAATCCTACTCCATTACTAGATATATAGCTTTACCCAATGCCATATGCTTGACTGAGTTCCAAGACCTGGCTGTATGATCTAACCTTTTTATTGTCTGTGAAACCATCAGCTCTATATTTACACAAGTTTTCCTTCTAGCTTCAATACCGTGACCAGTACTTTGTATGCCACTTTCATCACTCACCTTCCCCATGGTCTTTCCAGGGGGCCCACAATACTAGCCCCTCAACCATAGATCCTTCCCACCTACCTGTGGTGGAGGGGCTTGCCTATTAGGATTTGGGTCCTAGATGGTCCAGTACTAATTTTTAATGTCCAATTATATTGTTTCCACACTATTTTCATTTCCTTATCTTGATTCATTCCAAACACACAATTGTATCTACTCTGGGCCAGGGTTGGAAATACATGTCTGTAAATCCCTTAGGCCAATCACACTATATGCTAGCTTCTTAATATGCTGGCAGAATGAATGCATGAATGAATAAACAAAATGAATTCCATCCTACACTTAGCTTTGGTAGTTGACTTTGTATCCTATTTTTCTGACGTTAAAATACTTATAAGAGTGCCTGATTTATCTATACCACCCACATCAACACACTTCTATTTCCATCTATCCTCCACACGTTCCATCTAGTTTTAGAGGAAAAGGAATCCTGTTTTCTTTTGGATGCTGCACCACTATCCTCCTCTGACTCATTCTTGACTGCCAAGAGACCTTACTCCCACACTCTTCCCTCTATGCCAGCAACTGTCATGCTTTTTTCTAGACATAATATTCAGAAAATAGACATCCCAGATTTTCTACGATGGTTCTTTAAAAACTTCTCCTCATTATCCCTATAATACATAAGAAGTGTTCCTCAATTCCCAGTGCTTCCTCCTGGAGTATATATTGTCACCAGGAGAAACAAAAAATGGTGTAAGGTCCTGATTTGAGGTTTGTGTTTAAAACAAAAATTCACAAACTTCACATGATGCTGCTGTACCTGGTATTATTTCTCTTTTTCCTTTCACTTCCAAGCTATTCTACATGTGTTTATCTTACATCATTGCCACATACTCACCTCCTACATCACTTTTAGTTCCCCAAATAGCTTCTGCCTA